CTTGGGAGCTCTGCGCTATGTGTTCCAACCTCGGCGCTTGATTTCATATTTGACATGCCAATATCCGATGTGCAAAAGCTTTGTTCGCCACGCTGGTCAGCCCCGACCGTCACTCAAAAATTAGTGACCATCACGGAAATGCTTCTGACCAGGACTATGGTCTGATTGTTATTATAATTACGTACCGATCGACGCGCATCCTGCCAGTCGTGGATTTAATTTGTAAAAACAGACCTAGTCACACGATATGTAGCGGCTAGTCAAATTTGTGAAATTAGCACTTCTTTGTAAGTAAATACTTTCTGCGATTCAGTCTTTAGATTGAAAGCTAAAATTTTGTCAAAATCAATTCCACCTCGATATAACATGGTCAATGCGGAGTTCACTATCAGTTTACGCTACGAGAAAAAAATTTCGTGATTTGGTAAAATACATTTGAACTGTTATCGCGAATCATGTAAAACTCTTTCTTTCAAGACCTATTTTGCCTTTTAAAAATTGCAAATCGCCTCTTTCAAAGGCCATCATGCAGTTTTCAATTGAAACCAATGCCAACACATCATGCCACGACATCACTTAACTTCCGCAATGCAATTTTTATGATCAGTACCATTCGGAAAACTTCGGATTCTACCGGCACTACCATGCAACATTTTGATTGGTTAATGTCATTCTTGACCCATCGGGTCAAAGGACACATGCTAATGTTTCACAAACATCATGGCGGGTCTGATTTTTTTTACAGAAGCGATTGAGTGATCAAAAATAATCGCTCCCGATAAAAATAAGTCTGATTTTACTTACATTTCATATAAAAAAAAAGTAACATTTTTTATGTCACGTCGTAACTTTGATGATCGTTTTGAAGTTTTATTTGTTCGCTCATTACTGTAAATGTAAACGTTTTAGAAGTTGATGGTACGAATAATAAAATACAACATTTCGCCAATTAATTACGTGATCGATTTTTTGAAGGAGAATGTTTTTGGAGTGAATAAAATTATGAGATTCGTGAACATAACTCTGGCTAGGCGTTTTGAATGCGTATCATTCAACGTTATACAATACAATTAAATTACAACAATAATTTATTTGTGTTTGTTTTTAGTCTGCAGCATTTGTATTTCGAGAATGTTTCAAACTCTTCTAAATTGTGAAACATAATGTGTTGATTCCATTAACAAATATTTGCACTGTGACTGAGCTCACTAATATTCATAATTGTAAATGAGTTACGTTAATCAAAGAAGGAAAGGTATGTAAATGATATGCAAATTATTATGCAAATTAGCTGCAATGCTATGTATTTTGTCTGGGGAGAACCCTGAATCTAATATATTCAACATGAGAATTATCCTCGATAACAAATTGCATTTTGTTAAAATTATGTCTCACAGGAAGACTGTTCATTTTCTAAATAATAACACACAAATGTCCCACCAATGAATTAAATAATGGTGATGTCTCCAGCAAGTCTAGACCAGCGTAGTTTTGTAATTTCCTCATCCGCAGCACAATGGCTACTTCAAGCACTCACCTCGTCAGTCTTCAAGTTATTAAACTGACTTTTCTTCATAAACCTAGGGGCCATATCCCTTTGCTGGTTAGCTTGCCGATTCTGATATCCTAAATTACCCTGGTTACCATTACCATCTTGTTGCTGTCTGGATGTCTGCCCTTTAGGATTTGCATAATTTTGGTATCCTGAAACACAAACAACAAACATTTTTTTTTTAAACTGCTTCAGGACAACCAACTGGACTATCTATAATGCTGACTAACGTTTTATTTTACAGCTAAAACCACCTAGATTGTCATTAAGCTTGCTCTATATGTTGTAAGATTAGAACAACTAATTATCTACTTAGTTTCAAATCAATGTTAACTTACTACAGACTTACAGTCTAGACATATTTACATTATTTCTGAAGATGCGCAATATTTTTAAGCAAAGTAGGTAATTAGTTGTTCTGATCTTAACATCCAGAGCAAGAATATTGACAAAATCTAGGTGGTTTTTGTTGTAATATCTTTACCTTGGTTTGGAGAGTTGCTTCCACTTCTGTTTCCAACATCACCACCACTTCGTGTTCTTCCCACATTGACTGCATGAGGTGTATATCCATTAAAGCCATCTTGGATTACTCCAGGTCCTGTACCGATGCTACTACCTGTTATTACAAAATGAGAAACCACCACATTGTCATATAAACAGCACCAGAAATACACAATTGCCCATAAAACCTCATGTAATCTAGTTGTGAACAACTCTGAATCTGAATTAATTACTTTCTTGAATATTTGTCAGAATAAAAAAAATACCAATTGGCTGATGGTATTGATCAAGTCTTTGGAGAAAAATTATGCAGGTTTTTTGGGAATAGGCGACAAAAGTTGACTTCAGCATTTAACATTTAAAGAGTTGATATTGACACTTACCAATTGTTGGCATAAAGACGTCACTGAGTCCACCATGTTTTTGTGGTAATACTGACATCAAACCATCGTCCAGAGGGAAGAAATTCTTGCTTTGCTTATGATTAGAGTTGTACGACATATAAACTCCATAATCCTAGTACAGCAGAAAGACAGTAGGCAATCAAAGTCAAGGTTTGAACAAACTGCATGTAATTCAAATAAATGTTACTTTATGTTCAAATGCGCAGCACCATGAAGTTTCATGAGTGATGGTTATCCAAAAACTGAGCTTGTGATCACAGTTAGTTTGGATACTTGAAAATCAGCATCAATATTTAGTTAAACAATGAAGAATGTGCAAATAAGAATGATGGGCACCTTAGTCAGAAACACAGGCAAGAAATGTAAACAAATATCCAGTTGGTTATACACAGTGATGATACTATTACAAGACAATGATTGCTCTGACAGAGTGGAAAATTTGCAATTAATTTCCTTTTTGCTAGTTCTGTAAATTATGAGTAATCAATAACGGGATTATTATTATTATTATTATTACTATTATTAGAGTACACAGATTGTTATGTAGTGCACTTTTAGAACATTAATAGTAAGGAAGATTCAACTACTCTGTTGTGGTTCACACTGACTTTACTGTCAAAAGCAGTGCACTCCCCAGAGATTTGATAGTAGAGAGCTCCGTCACAAAACATGCCATATTTATTATTCATTACATCACAACATTTAGGTAGTTCAGATAAATCATCACCTACATTTATATGCGAATTAACATTCCCGTGAATCTGGGGAGAACACTGCAAAGACAATTCAATTCATACAAGTTACAAATACCCTAAAGATATACCTTATGAAATTTTAAATAACACAGAACTGTAAACTCTCTAAAAGTTTGGAAATAGATTCTTACCTTCACAGCCTCTTGTCGCACTTGATCCATAGTTTTAGGACTATTATCTTGTAGTACTTTACGGGGTACCCACTGTAACACAAAAATGTTAAAGATTTAAATTCATAGTTGAAAATTGTTTTAAGACTTCATGTACTGTAAACTTCACGACTTTACAGGTAAAATGCAACTTGTATGGAACACAAAGGATAACGTGCACATCAGGTAGTGGTTTGCATCATAATGTACACAAAATTAACTAATTGTATCAGCATCTGAAAACACTGCAAAAAATAAGCCAAAAGGACACCACAAATTATAATACTATTCCTCAGCATAGTTCGAAAAAATCATGACAATTTCTGTCTTATTATCAACAATTGAAGTCATACAACAAAGATGATACAACTATATCGCTGCTACCAGTCAGTACTGTGCATATTAAATTCAAATCGATGGAACTAGACTTTAGGATTTTAAAGTATAACAAAGCTTGTTCAATCAAGGGATGTGTACTTACATTGCATTCTCTTAGTTCCAGTGTGTCTTCCAACATAAATCTAATACGAGCAGGGAGGTCTTCATTATTCGCTAACAGGCGCATACGCCCAAAATACTGGTCCACAAGGGCCTAAAAAGCAATTAAATAAATGTTAATGAATTTTTTTTAATAACGAGTTATAACAAAATAATATTAAAGTACAATAAGTTTGAATGAAATCAGCCTATGAAAATGTTTAAAAATAGTTATTGTATCCATATTAGGAATGAAAATGACCTTAGCTTTTTCGGTGTCCAATCTTGGCCCGACAGTCTTTATTATCTGGCACAAACATTCCAAATCTTCCGCCACGTCCTTGACATTCTGTTTCTTTTTCTTATCAAGCAACTACAGAGAAATAATTTAGCGTTATTACATGCAGAATTTAATTTAGATTGTGATTCAGAGACATGCCATTGAACACATCACACTAAAAAATCAGGAGGCACTACTCACCTGCTTAATGCACCTGTGTAAGATCGATTCGTGTAGCATATCCAGTTTTCCAAGTTCACCTGCAAAGCATAGAAATAAAAGTTGAATAAAATAAAAATGTTGGCCTGACTAACCCATAATGCACTGATGTTACAATAACATACTGGCGGTATGTCAGCAAATACTAGACGTTCTATTAATTTGTCTCTCATCTAATATGATTAACATCAACATGTATACGAGACATGCACGATACCAACTGCAGCCAGTTTATTGCTAAATGTTAGCATTCATGCTAATTCTGAAATTGCTTTGGAACAGCATTTTTTTAATCAAAATGGCCACTATTCAATCACAATGCATTCCAATTGGTTAATAACAAACTTGATCTATCAGGCTAAAGGACATAGTTGCAGGTCAAATTATGCAGCAAAACAAGAGGCACTCAAAATGCCAGAATTACATAGAGTTATGGTTGCAAGATTTCTCACTACCTATTAGTTTGAATGTACTATTGAAATAAAACAATTTAGGCAAATAATGTGGATGAATGTTATACAAATAGTGCACTTAACACTTACCAATGAACTTGATGTTGCCCAGCATTTTATGTTTGGCAATCTGTTTCTGCTCCTGCTCTGCAGAAGTGAGGGGGCCTTCATTTTTATCAAAGGCTACAAAAAAAATGAACATATAAAAATAAAATCAAGAGACGTTTGTGTTTATCCTGATCCAAATGTGAGTAAAATGATGCAAAATAACTCGCCACATATGACCTTCACACCAATTTTGATTGAAATAGTTGATGACAACAGAAGGCATTAAAATAATGCAGCGTATAACATACCTGCAAAGGCCTTGGATCTGTTTTCAAACTCATCCTGACATTTAGCAATTAAAAGGCGCCGGAATGTCTGTAGAAAATTCATAATATTAAGATTTGATTACAAAAATGAAACTAAACTGAAAGGAATCATCAATGATATAACCAATAGTGTATTTGTAGGTGCGAGTTGTGATTTTTATTGAAAATCTTATTCAGTATAGCAGTTTATAGCTACATGGAACACTAGTATCTAGATTTGTGAAAATAGTTATGTAAAGATTTCAAATCAGAAAATTGTTTGCTTCAAAAATAAAATAAAAAGTATAATGTAAATAATATACTAATAACTTACAGAGGGTCCTGAGCTGCCCGGTGGTTCAAAGTTTGGTGCGTCTTCACATAGTCTACTACATAGCTGTGCGTACATAGAACTATACTTTGGTTCATCTAAAGCTTTTTCAAAAACCTAGTATTTGAGAAAAAAAAAAAGAAGAGTATGGATAAACAGATACAACAGTAAAATCTACATTAGAAACCGCATCTCTAATAAGTCGCACCCATACTTTTAGAGCAATTGAGTACCAAACATTCACAATTTTTCATACGTGTGGATGCTCTAATTGAAGCCGCATTCCTTCTGTTGCATTGTACCATTCCAATAAAGCCGCAGCTTCTAATACAGATTTTACAGTAGTGAGGGATTTGTGTGATTACAGAAATGAATTAAATTAAACAATACAAGTTATTTTACTAGTATTACATTAAATACAATGGTATACACTTTTTGAACAGTATCACATTTCCACTAGACCCATCATATAACAATTTCACAATGATTTTGTTTTATTAATATGTTTTATTAATACAGTGATCACATTATAACAGAGCTTGTGCCTATCTGTGCCTGAACTTGTGCCTGTCTAATCAAGGGATAAATTGTACAAAAAAAAAAAAAAAATTACAGATAACTCACCAATATAATAACACCCTTTAGAATAAGCTTTGAATCTATTCCCACATTGAGCAGCTCTAAACTTAACTTATCAAACTTCTCTGGTGTTAACTTATTGAGTATACTGTCAAAGAGAAAAAGCAATGATTGTATTGCATTGTATTAGGAAAGGAAGGGTACAAACCTGAATAATATTTTCACTATTACTATCATATAAAATACAGTGAGTGAAGACACTGCAAAATATGGCAACGCATCAGAAAATGCATGGTTAACTAGATTGACAACATACTAGTATGTGATATAGCATTCCCAAGTAAATATAGCAGTGAGGGCACATGCAGGTGGTTCAGTTCACATGCATTTACTGGTGACAGAAATGAAACTTCATTATCACTTGATGGAGCTAGCAACAGGTGTAAATAACTACTTATTTATCCTCTCGTATATTATATGACAACTATGATAAATGAACTACAATTATATATCAACAAAGACCAGATTATAATAATCTGTAATAAGAAAGGTAGTTTGCAATTGAAGCAAAGAAAGATAAATGGGATCAATTTCCATAAATTGATAACAACCATAAATGAATACTATTCCTCAAACACCAGCCAGTTTCATGATATTATGCTTGACATAGACACAAAATAACTGAGCATGTAAATTATTGTTGAGGATTATTTTTGATGGGCACACCCAAATGCTATTGTGATTATTTATGGTAATTTCATTATATATCAAACTATAGAAGGCCACACCTAAAAAAAAAATGATTGTGACTAATTTTAGTACTAATATACCAAGTGACGAGAAAATTACATTTCCAGTTTAGATACTTACCCACGGACACGTCGGAAGATAGTATCATGTTTTTCCTGCAGTGTGATGGCATCTCGTTTACATGTTGCTGGAGGAATCCATCTTGGGTGACTTTTGTTTAATGGTTGGTGGTTATGCTGTAGAGTCTGTTGCTGTTGCCTTCCTCTATTAGGCCCAGCACGACGAGAAGCACCACCTACTACTCTGGGGCCTTCCACCTTGGTATGTATAGTTTCTTGCAAAAAAATGGTTTCTGGAAAAAAGTTCACAGGTAGGATTCCTATAGAACGAGAAAACAAAACAGAAATTAAATTACAATGAAGGCAATACATTGAAATAATTAGTAATCTAATAAATCAGGACTAAGCTTATTTAACACTTGAAAATTATCAATGGACCATTTTGATAGCATAGTCTCAAACAAAAGATTGACCTGCTTTGTGACATCACAGTCAGCAAGGTCAAACGAAAAGCATAACAACCCATTGATTTCCAAGGCCATTCTTTACTGCAATGAAAACACAAGGTGACAACAAAATCATTGGGAGAAAAAAATAATAACCAAACATAGGTTTGAAAGAACAAGTTTTTCATAACAACCATGACTGTAAATACTTGTTAGATAATGTAGATATTACAATATCTTTGAAAAAATGTTGCATGAGTCACTGATGTTTCAATGCCAGACAGGCTCAGTAGTGTTTTATCAGCGTTTGTTTATTATCATAGCTTTCAGGGTGAAGAGAACGAAACTGAATGAAATCCAGAGTTCTATTACTTCCATCAAATTAACAAGGTTGATAATTCAAATAAATTGTTTCATAACAGGTAAAATAGTGGGTAGACGTTAATTTATTTAAAAAGATTTCCTGGGTGGAACAAAGGAAATAAAACGGGAAACTAATACATGTAGTTCCTGTCAGTGATTCACAAAGCCACACAAATTCAGATCACACGAGAACTCAATAGTAATTAGTTAGTGTTAACGTTTTTAATTGTAGGGTTTCTATTATCAATATACTAAACGTTATAGAAAAATGTTATGTCAAGACGGTCAATCGTCATAATCTAAGTGAGAAAACAGAAACCTTACGCGTGGTTTAAATATCTCTGAAATAAACCTGTTGTGCTTTTCACAAATAGGGAATTATCAATTCTAAATGAACTTAAAAATATCAAGTGATTTTTAGACTGGAAACTGGATTATACTGCTCTCTACCAAACGAAAAACACAATTTGTCAAGTATTGCGTCGCAGATAACACCGGTTACCACTTTCAAACTAAAAATGTGTGGACATTTGCAACATTTTTCGCATCGAGTTTACCAGATACGGCAAGTGGCCGAGGTTCACGAGCATAATGAGAGTTTTCTCTAGAATTATGTAAATGGTAAACTACTGGTTGATGGATACAATTCACATGGACAATAATAAGACAGACTGCGTTCCATAGGATTAACCGCGCCGTTCGATCAATTTTCGAACACAACACACAAAGCAAACGCCGGAATTTTACACGGTTTTCGCGAGAAATACATTACTAGGACAAACGATATTACATGTAAGTCAGCTCAAGGTATTATTATACGTTAAGAGTTCACAAAAACATAAATTTGAAATAACGTATTGAAGAAATGGGAGAAAATACGCACTCACCTAAGTCAGGATTTGTGTGATTCCGGAAACTGAAAAAAATTGCGAAACTGAAATCTTAACCCAGCATGCTTTGCTACAGTCTCGTGCGTTATTTTCACAAATATTTTTTAAGGTAAGAACAATGGTAATAGCAAACGTATTCAACAATCTTTAAATAAATACTTACAAAATAATAATTAATTTTACTGCACATAAGTGATAGAAATATACAAATGTACATTTTTTAATGACTTTATATAGTATTGTTTTGTTGAAAAAAATTGTTTGGTACGAGGTCAACATACCCCCTAGCGTAAGCATAACATCAATATTACTTGGCCAAGATCGGAAACCTTGCTTGGATATCATTACATATTTACGTCATGACGGAACAACGCATCGCAAAGCAATTCGGACAAAAAGTGAGTGGATATGTATTTACTATAGTTGCAATCTGCGACGGATATAATTAAAACGTAACTTAGAACACTGAGCTCTATGCTTAGAAGTTAGACGCATGATGTCGAATGGAGAGAGTGAAAGTGAACTGTTGTTTTAGCGTTTTATTATATAATTAGTTATAAATATCGTAAAATATACATTTGCGGTTAAATTTAAACTTACTGTCATAATTGGAAAATACTTGTTACTGACGCAGTGCAAGCCCGGCCCTGCAACAAGTGGCAGTGCCTTCGAATTCTGAGTCCCGACAACAGGGGAAAATACTGTTTTGAAATGGAAAGTGGGGTGCGGACGTTGCCCATTCCACCAATGGGCGTAAAGTGGATTGCGTTAAGTGGGTCGACGCCTTGGTATATTTCGTAAAAGGTGTATTTATTTGCATCTTTGACGTCCAAACTAAACAGCGCACTATATAATTTAACGGGGTAATCATTTGTAATGTGAGTCGATCGAAGAAAAGTTACAGCGCTGAAGTAGTATAAAAACATAATATAATATAATGGTCATTTGCTGTGTCTTTCGGTCGGCTGTGCCATGGCGTACGAGCCAGGTGAAACTATTCGCAATTCCATTATTTTCCCACTAAAGATAAACAACACGTTTCAGTCTATTTTATAGATTCAAAAATACAAACAATGCTACCATAACTTAATACATGAATTTGTTAAGGAATAGTTGTTATTATCTGCAAACCTTTGGTGAATAAACACTAATAGGTAAATAAATGTAGAACTCGGTACTGCCAGTCATCATACAGGGATTTTTATGATTTTTGCTTATGCACTCTTATTCTTGTAGTAAATGTGTATACTGAATTACAAATACAATAGAAGACAAGTTATTGTGAGATAAAGAAATTACATTACATGTATATTCAAATGTTTAATAAATATAGATCTTATAAAGGTAATTGTTTCTCATTGCAAATAGTTAAATCTGAATAACATACGTTCAAGCAAACAGCCAGCGTAATATCAGTACACACAAAACAGAAGAAATATTTTGTTTTACAGCAATATTAACTCCAATTGTGTTTTTTAATTATAACTTTCTTTCAGAGGATACCATACTTTTGAAATGCAATTTTTATTCCTGAACTTGCATTTTTAGTGAGAAATTTGAAAATGATATGTAAAAATACAAGATCTTTTTGTGAACTACAATGTGTACATATGAGTAGATACCACGCTTCAAACGATAATTTCAACATTTGTAGAACAATATCTTTAAAAATATTAATACCACCATACCATATAGACACCTGTTCATTGCAACAGTATTTTACTTGCAAATTAATCATTGGTAATTATCATTTAATATTTTTGATAAAGTCTTGATAGCATCAATGTAGCAAACAATTGTTACTTAAAATACTTCCTAATTAAACAAAAAATGTATCTCCTGTCCTCATAAAAACACTCTTCACCTCTGATTTTTACTCAAAAATACTGTCCTACTTTATATAAAAAAAAATAATTATGGTTTAAAACTAATACTTTTATTAGTAAATTTAATAAACTGACTATATTTGAATTATTTACAAATAAAGTTACATTTTTTTGTAAGTGTGAAGGAATCCATTTTCTGTTCCATGAGTTTGATGGTTAAGATTGTTCAACTGGATTACTTGAATGTACAAGTTAAATTGATTCAAATATAAAAATATTCTCACATTATACAGTCAATGTTTTTTGCTACAGTAGCAGATGATATGTGAATTTAGCTGAAAACAGTTTTCCACACATCGTTAGTATGTCAGTAATTTTCGTACATTTGGTGATAAATCGACCGCTACTTATAGCATTAATCAGGAGAGCATACAATATTATTAATGGTTGTTGGTTTCCTAGCAACAAACAAATTACTATAGAGAATAATCATGACTTGGATACTCACAAGTTTGAACTTGACATGACATTTTGAAATTACTGTAGATTTGAAAATTGGTGAATATAAGTAGGAACTGAATTTACTACAAATATCAGAATAAATTTTTAAACCTCATTCTTAAGGCTAATGTACAAATAGATTGATTAATTTCAATACATCATTCTATTTCTATTTCAGTTCCGATTACAGCTGTATTTACTTTGCATTTTTGCTGGCAATCAGCGTCTTTACGTTTCGTTAAGTACTAGTAGTTAGTTTTGATAAGAAATATCTCCTACAACTTGCTCACCTTGTTTATACAGTGAACATACACTGTAATGGTGTTTATTCAAAGACCCCTTAACTAACTGGAAATTATCCAACCATCGTCAATTGTTATGGGTAAAAGAAAAAGGACATAATCACACAATTGTAAACCTACCTGTCCAGTAACATGGTTTTTATTTGAGAGACTGGATTTGTTTTTTGTAGCAATAAAATAAAACTTGGGAAACTGGATGAAGTTATATTTTGTTAGTTTCTGTCAAATATGAAAGTCAGCTGGTTATGTTTGTACAGTTATTGTTGTAGTAACTGGATATTCCAACTTCTATTTTAGTCAAACTAATACTACCCAATGTAGTCTTGACAACCAACTGCCCAGATGTGGAAATATGATTGTTGCAATAGCACTGCAATTAAAAATTCAATTTTTTTGTCATTGCAGACTCACTTGAGAGGTATTATTTGTTTTCTTCTTGTGTTAATCACACGTACTACTTCACATACAATGTTAACCCTAGTAACATGAAAGTCAGTTGTTTTGATTTACTAAAAATCAACTTATTAATAGTTGTTCTTTTCCTCAGAAGACATTAAACTCCTTGGCTGTTATCTTTAACACTTAATATAAAATCATACGTTCACTGAGTGAAATTAATAGTCCCCATTGTTTAGTTTCACGTATGATAATTTCAAATGGCTTCCAAGTGGCCATTTCACAGACACTCATTGACTGATTTTGAGTTACATTTGTTTATCATTTTATCTCTATTATTTCTTATCTAGAAGATGCATTGTCTGACATTTAAACATAAAAAGGACAAGACTTTCATTTTTGTTTGCAATTTGATAGAAGATGGTTGACTAACTGGCTGTCTCAAAATGGTATTGAATGCATATTGTAAACATAAATATCAAGTCTCAGGAAACAATTTTGAGATTCAGACCAGACTTGTTCATGCTCATGCTAGTTTGCAATTGCCTAAAAAACAACAGTAGCTGTTCAAGTGTTTTCTAGAGGGCAGCCTCTAGTTAAATATAAACCAATCCTGTTAATATTGTTAATCGTTGACAGACATTAGTTATGGATTTAATTGAAACATAGATCATACCATTAATGGGAGGGTGTATCAAATTCTTCTTGTGGTTGTTCTAATTAGGTGTAATTATAAATCAATCTTAATTTTCTGTGTTTCTGACAGTAAATGGTTTCTTTTATATGTTCCTCGGCCAGATGATCAGAAATTAATAATGACCCTCAAATTATAAATGAGCAGGCACACCTTTGATTTAAATGGAAGGTTCCTGACATTGACAAGTTTGATAAGCAGCGGTAAAGATTATTCTAAATTAGGTTGGTCATTCACTGACACCGTCTTGCGTTGGGGATCCATTTTGTTTGATTTGGGTATAGTCGATGTAACTGGTAATCAGATAGTTCAGTAATCAGCTTGCATAAACGTCCATTATGGCTGAAATCCAGAAAGTCGCCAAGTCTCTTGATAAGGAGGTAAGAGTTGGATAGAGAAAATATGTGATTGTATTGTTTGTAGGTGGTTTTTGGAATTTCATGCCCTAGTACCTTACCTCAACTATGGTGTATCATAGCATACAGGTGGGTCCATGTTATAAAAATAGCACTTGTATTGCTTGAATCATTACTGTCAAAGTTGTCTGAACTCTACATGCAAACCCTTTAGAATTTAGCTTGTGAGGCAAGTGCTGTACATATTGAATTGTGGTAAGAGTTCGTAAGGGCTTCCTCATCCAAAATTCTAATCCTAACCCTGTCCTTCTCACATTTAAATTGTACCGTATATACCCTGGAGGAGGGCAAGGGCAAGGGGACACCCTCACACACAAACATTTATTTGCAGTTAATGCATACACATCTGAAAAATAGTTGGATTTCGTTTCATAACAACTCTAACAACTCTGGGGACATATCTGTATTGGACACACCTTAGCTACTGTATAAAAGCATCTTAAATAGGCTATGTCTCATACTGATTTTCTGTTTTTAAGAACTTCAAATTGTCTCAAATTTGTTTGTGTTTTTTTTTCATCTCGATTATAAAAAGGTCTTTAATATGTTACATGAGTGTTAAAATTAAACTACATGTATTTACTATGACTTGGCATGCTTTCCAACTTTGGTAGTATGTAATTCTTTTTTCAACATAAGGTAACATGTGTTTTGTGACGAATTGTCTGATTGAGTGTTAACAGCAGTTAACAGTTAACAAATGAAATTAACAACAAGCTTTATTCTTTGGAGAGGTGTACACCTGCCTTGAATACCTTTCCCTTGGTCTCTAAGTTGTCTTGTGCATTTCACTTTCTACGTTTTAAATTTGTTTTTCATTGGTTATAAAAAGGTATTAAAAAGTAGGAACAGCTTTTAATTTTAACTAATTAATTATAATAGTTATATTTTTGTTAACAGGTCCAAATGCTGGTCGATGATGACAATGAAAGGGAGTTGCTTTACAGGGCTCTAAAGAGCTACAAGCAGTGAGTTTTATCTCTCAATCTACATGTATTAATGAATTTAGAAATAAGCTATAGCATGCACCATAGTACATGTTAAAGGAATTGAAGACAAATTCTAATTTTGCGCTACTGACCATGCGCCTTCAGAGAAAGTACTTACATTGAAAACAATGGGAAAATATTATCACTAAACTATGGGTTTTTTTTTTCATTTGCAAGCAAGGTTAAATTTCAATCAATAACAGTATATAATTTGTTCATCCCATGTCAGTAAGCATAATTTTGAGATACCTACTCCATAGAAACCAATGCAAAAACTGATATTAATCCTTAATACTGAGAGTATGGAGAAATTGACATCAATTTGTCTCAAACCTTATAAAATGTAATGTCTTTGCCAACACTTCTTCTATTCACTATAGGCTTGTTTATAAGTGAATTACCTCTATAAATGTTTTCAGTCTCTTATATGAATAAACATATCCATGCCATGTACCTATGCCATAGGTAAATGTAAATGTGCTCTCTATTTACAAAGCACATGTGATTACATATGCCCTAGTGAAATCAGTCACTGTAAGAACTAACAGTGTTACATCTGAAATACTTGAAAGTAACTTTGGCTTGGATGTATGGTTAATGTATTACGAGTTTACATGTTCAGTTTTGGTTGGCTTAATCTGTTCGGTTGTATTACTCATGTTCGAATGCATCTTATTTCAGGATTATGTCGGTGGAACGATTAGTGAGTGATCTGAAGAAAGTGTTGAATACGCCAAAGAGGATGATTCTGTACGAAGAAATCCGACCGCTGATACCGTTGAAACATCAG